TCCACAGCTTGGATCCTTCTGGGCCACTAGCAGGTTAGTTGGAGATTGTGTTTCTTTTACTTTGTCACATGACAGTCACTTGATCAAGCACTTCCTTATGGAATAGCTACTCATTTATAGACAATTCCTAGTTCCTTCAGGCTCACGCGTGACATCTTCCTAATATTAAAAACTAGTTTACGTATAATGTCTAAATAAAATTTCTAGGAGAGATGTTCCAACATAACATAATATTCTCCCCCCCAACACAGTAATACTAGCAAACCAAATCAGTGGGCCAATTGATATATGTGAAAGTCAAAGTAATTAGTAAAAATAGTAAAGCTGATTTTTCCTCTATGTTAAATTACACATTTACACATTATTAATCCAGTATTTAAATAAAGGCTGCATTTAACTCAATTTTCTGGTAAAGAGCATTATTGGAATCACAAATACAGGCTTTAAAGTATATAAGCCACTTAACCACACTCCCAAGTGAGTGCATGTACAAACACAATCTATTTTAAATTGATATATTTCTTATTATTAAATTGAGTCATCCTAGTGGATAGCCATCATCAACTGTTATTGAAGCAATTCTTGTTCTGTGTTGTTCCAAACATCAGACAATCACCATGCTATCATTTGATGAGTGTCATGAAACAGTGTGAATCTTAAAAACACTCAAGAAATCAAAGCCAAAAACAGGCTGAAACAAAATTCTTACTCAACATACTCAGAAATACAGCATAGAGAAAATAAAATCCATGTTTTGCTCTTTCACTTTCAATATCTCCACCAAAAATGTTCATTCTATTTTTAAAAAACTGAAAGTCTCTGAAAAGCCAGTCCCAAAATACTATATACACAAACCAGTGACTCTCAATTGTAGCTGCATATTAGAATCATTTAGAGAGCACTAAAAAATTATCAATGACCAGAACCCATTCCCAGAGATTCTGATTTTACTGTTCTGACACAGGGGCATGACAACTGATCTGTCTAAAAAGCTCCCTGGGCAATTCTAATATGTAGTCAGGTGGAGAACCACTACTTTAAACTAATACAGCCTTTTGGGATGATAATTTCTCTGAAGTTGATAAATAGGCATTTTGCCTTTTAATGAGATTTTTATTAAAACTACTCAATTCATTCTATAGGTAATGAATGACTGTTACATTGCAGAACCTGTGTTCAGTAAGAAAGAGATGTACAAGATATGTCCCCTGCCCTCAAGAAGCTCCCTATTAAATAGGCAGAGAGACTCATAAATAAGTAACTATAATTAAATATGATAAAGTGTTCCTGAAGTAGAAGCAAATATAGAATGCTCACAAATACAGCATGCCTTATATGTCATCCTTGAGCCCAAGTCATGCTACAGCATTCCAATTTCACTATGTGTCCTACCGAAGCAGGAACGCCAGGAGTTACAGGTTACTGAATACCCAGGCAAGTACTCAGCCTACACAAAGTGAAAACAGTGTGCATTTTGCTATTCTCTTTCACAGAAACTGTTCTACTATGAAGGTGGTCATTCCTATGTTTTAATTTGGATGAATCATAAAATTTCCTTCATGTCATATTATTGATTGTACACTTACCTATAACACTAAATTTGCAAAAGATACAGTAAATGATTGTGACAAAAATTAGCCAATAACCTATATTTGTATAATACCTTTCCTTTCCAATAATTGCTATATTTGCTAAAACAAAGTTTGGAGGACTATGGTAAGGTGCCATCAAGGCTTGAAAAATGTTGTGTAGAAAAATGTTATGAAAACAACAGGCATTCAAGGGAGCTTTCTGTAAGAATTCAAAAAATAAGAAACATAGGAAAAGAGTTTAACATTTTTAAAAAAGAGATAGCATTCTTTCTATATTCATAAGGATTCAGGTACATGATTCCTTTGAAGATAATAGATGAGAGTAATGAGGTAGGGGAAGGACTGGTCAGCTGATCTTGAAAAATGAAATCTATATATATGACATACAGACATGGACAACAATATGGTGGTAGCTGGAGGGAAAGGGGGGTTGGTGGGAGGTGAAAGTGGGCAAATGGGGATAAATTCAGATGGAAAGCCACTTGACTTTGGGTGCATGATGCATTATGCAGATGTTGTTTTATTGAGTTGCATACTCGAAACCTGTATGGCTTTATTAACCCCATGGGGTGGCAATGTCACCCCAACAAATTCAATAATAAAATAAAGTACCTTAGCAAAAATTTAAACCTATTAAGACCCAGGGGTTAAAACAAACTTGTGATACTAATTTGGTGTTAAGAGAAAATCACAATTCCAGGGAACCTGGATAAAAACCAACAAAAATCTTTCAGTACAAATGAACATCTTCAAGGCCTTCTGCTTAAATCCAAAGTTGAACAAATTCTAAGTTAAAATGTATGCTGTCAAGGTCCCTGCAAGAAAATCTCAAGTGAATTTCAATTTCCAGATCAATATATGCTGAGACAATTTACCAGAGAAACCTTCAACCTTTATACAGGGCAAGGAACACCATCATTACATTCTTTATCACGAAGGCCATCTTGAACTCATTATTTCATGGAGTGACATAAATGACACTGACCAAGTCATATTTTGTAGAATATAAATGAGAGTTCACATTCACAGCAGTTAAGATGGCCATAGAGTACCTATCACCTCAAAATTAGCTTGCTCTCCCTGGTTATGCAGCTGTGAATCAACAGAAGAGATTAATTTAGTCCTATCAGGTGTTTTCTGACAATATTCTATCAATTATAAATCAGCAGAATGTTTGCTGTGCTAATATGAAGCTGATCACTTCTTTTAGATATCCAAAGAGCAATATCGTAACTCTTCCAGAGTTATGGAATGAACATGAATTCAATGATGGCTATATCCCATCTTCACTATATAATTAACATTTTAATCTCACAGTTCCAAATCATGACATTGCTGGCTCATTTAAATCAAATATAACTAAGACATAACAAACGACTTCACCCACATGCACACACACACAATCATCTGTGGGCTTTGAGGAAACACCTAATCACCTTTACTGGGTGTGAAGAATAAACAAATCAAGGGGATTTAAAAAAGTAAATTTGCCTCTCTAGAATTGTGCTATTCACAAATGGCTATGGAGCACTTTAGATGTGGCTAGTCCAACGGAGGAAGTGAATTTTAAATCTTATTTAGTTTTAATAAATTTAAATTTAAATTTAGAAAGAGATACTTGATTCCATTACTGGAAAACTTTTAGGTATGCTTGCAAAAACTTGGGTATGTGAACCTACTGTTGCAAATGCAAATTTTATGAAACCTAAATACAGATCAGGTATTTCCTATAAAAATTTAGCTTAGTGTCAGAATTTACATGTATTGTTGGTATAAAATACACATTGGATTTCAAAGACTAAGTATGACAGAAAGGCTGTAAAACATCTCATTAATATTTCTACACTGATCACATGTTGAAATGATAACAGTTTGAATTTGTGAGGTTAAATATTTTATTAAAATTAATTGCACCTATCTGTTTTTACTCTTTTAAGTGTGGCTATTAGAAAATTTACATATGTAAAATTACATATATGGCTTGCATTCTTTGTCTTTTAGACAGTGCTGCTCTAGAGCACTTCCACAATCACTTCAACAAGGGCACATTTGGATATCCTTCTTCTACTAGACAGGCTGGTCATGTAACAAACAATAGGGGCAAGGAGTAACATGTCATCTTATTAATTCAGTCTGAGGAAAGTGTGTAGCAAGGTCTACCCACAATCACCAGGTGAGGCAACAGTTATACCTCAACATGGGAGGGGAAAAAATGAGTTATCAGCACTTAAACAAATTGAAATCCAGCACTGCAGACAACTTAAAAGAGAAAGAGCCAACTGCTCTAAGGTCTTGGTTTCATTTCCCAACTTAGGATCTTAAAATAGACAATGAAGCACCACTTCCAAAAAGAGGTAAAATGTTTCAATGGTAGTTCTCTAGCAATCCATAAATAATCTAAAATTGCTCTTAAATCTCATCTCCTAAACTTAAAAAGCCACACTGAACTGAGAAATCAACTTCAGATTGCCAGCATTTCCCTCACAAGCAAATCAGCAGGATTGTGCACTTGGAATACTGTTTGACAAGAATGAAAAGGAAACTATTCAAAACAGATTTAAGGAATGGACAATCAGATGAGGAACTGCAGATTTAATTCTCAATCGGCACTGTGATTAATGTGGTTGTCTGCTTTTCCCTAGTGTAATTGTACAAGACAGATGAAAGGATGAGCATTTGGGCTGTCAGTTCTATATTCTAGACTAGCCCAGTGACTCAAAGCAGACGGTTCTACCATACTAACCACCATCCCAACAACAGTCGAGGGAAGCCTCGAACACTGATTTTAGTCATTGCATAACAAGGTATTAAAAATTCCGATCCCGCAACTCATTGCACGTTTGTCTACACCAGGTGAAGAATTTGCTGAAACTGAACGCACCCCGTCTTAAATGACCCCCTCCAATACGGCAATTGGGTGAACACAAAGGCATCTATCTAATAACCTGCACAATAGACACACACCCCACAATTAAAAAACCCTGGACGTTCTTTCTCTTTCTTTCCACACCAGCAAAGGAAATACAAGCTGCTCTTTTTGTTAATGGTCTACAGTACACACAAGGTAACAATAGCCCCAGCTGTTGGGAAGCAACTATAAAATCGGTTCGGCCACGTCCCTGTACAACCGTCAGATAAAATGCAGACAGCAGATTTCAGCCGGCCCCACGCCTCATGGGATAGCTGTTCTCAGCTCGTTGGCCTCCACCGATCGCCAGGAACCCCTCAGAACCCCACCCGACAGGAGGTCCAGGTATACGTCTATAAATACTCCGGGGTGAGGAAGATGAAGGCGGGGGCGGGGGTGGAGGGCAGGGGTCAGGCCCCGAGCGGGTATGGGTGTGGGAGGACCCGGACAACACTGAAATGCATTTTCCCACACTCCCGCTCCCTCGCGTGGAGACTCACTTGCCGATCACCTCGCACAGCTCGTACACATCCTCGAACAGCACGTCGTCGTCGGCCATGGTCCAGAGGGGACAGCGGCCGCAGCGTGGAGGACTCTGAAAACGGGGGTGGGGGCGCTAAAGAGCTCGGTGCCCGCTCCCTTGCTTGCCTTCTCCCCTCAGGACCTGCGAGCCCTCGGTGCTGAGGACGCTCGAGTGGGGCTGCAAGGCCCAGAAACTGCGGCGCCTTCCTCTGAGGGCGGCCGCCCCGGCGCAGGCGGCGGGGCCGGGGCACAGGAGTGAGGGCGGCCCGGGCCGGCGCCGCCGGCCCGCCCGCTCCTCGAGCTACTCGGGCCGAGCTGCCCGGCGTGCGGTTCCCCTGGGACCGCGCGCGTCGCCGCGCTCTCCGCACGTCAGCCCAAGGGGGCCGCGAGGCCACGACCGCTCCCTCTGCAAGGCTGGCTCTGGCGCGGCGCCGGGCAGCTCGGGCTACAGGGGGGGCCGCTGCAAGACCCTGGAGGGAGGAACGCCGCTGAGGGAGGTGGCGGCGGCAGATCGGCGCTGGGGACGAGGAGGCGGCGGCAGAGACGCTCCCTCCTCCTTCTCCTCCTCCCGCCGCCGCCACCGCCCGCCTGGGAGTGGGAGGAGGCTTCGCAGGACTGGTTCTCTGTGCAGGCGGGAGCCGCGGCCGAGGCCTTCAGCTCCTCCTCCTCTGCCAGAGCCCTGACCAGCTCCCCAGTCTCGCGCACCCGCCTCGCGCACACACGCACCACCTCCTGCCTCAGCCGCGCGGCCTCCTGACTCACAGGCCCCGCCCACTCCAGCCGGCCGAGAGGCCAGCGGCACTGGAATGGCAACGGGGCTGAGCAGCGCATGCGTGCGCCGCGGGACACGTCACGGCGAACGGGAGGGAGAAGGGGATTTTGAAGGGGTGGGGAGTGGCCCGCGGGCAGGACAGCGCGGGCTGCATCTGTGTAGGTGGGGGTTGGTTGGGGTCGTCATATTCTCGACCAAACCGCGGAAGGGGCCGAGACCAAATGTCCACGACCGAACGCACATTTTCGGCTATCTGCATCGAGAGGCGTGGAACCCCGGCCGCTCCCCACCCACTTCTTTTGTAACCGCAGGAAGCCTTTAGCAGTTTTTCGTGGGAGAGTCCTAATGAATGGGAAAGCTAGAAGAAAGGTAGAGAGGTTGTTACTCCAGACGGTGCTAGGCGACAGATGCTTTTAGTGCCACTGCCATTCTTTACTGAAAATGAACACTGGGGAAAGGGGGGTCATCCGCATACAAATGAAGGACCAAACAAAAACTGTCCAGGAAGGTGTGCAACAGCAAATGACAATTTATAAAGACCAGTTCTCCCGCATTCTGCCCAAACTCAAATTATCCAGCCCCTGCCCCTACTACAAACAACCTAGAGAGAGATCAGGAAGGCAGGGACACACAGAGACTTTAAGCCCCTTTGTAAATTCCCCTGCCCGCCAAGGCCACAGGACCTACTCTGCTCTGCTCCCTATAAGTGTTACACAATTCAGCATAAAAATACAGCTAGAAAGAGTATGCACAGGGTCAGCCAAGGAGTGAGGTTCTGGGTGATGTCACTGTACTAGGTTGTATTCAACAGGAAAAATTTTGAGCATGTGCGGAATGAGCCAATGCCATCAGACAGGTATATGCCTCAGTTGAGGACCAATAAAAAAAAGTCTGTTTCTCTCCACAGCAGAAGTGCCCAATTAGTTCATAAGTAAGCTTCTAGAAATCATCTGGTAAAATTCTCAGTGTGGTCATTTAAAAAGAAAGATAATATTTACCAAAGTGTAAGGAGTGGGTGGAGACCCACGGCCTATTTTCTATTCAGAAAAGTTTTGTGCAAACCCTTGGCCACGCCCTCAAGAGGCTGAGAGATTTGCCAGTGTTAAGGATTTGAGTGCTAAACCTTTTAAAAATGCAAATCGGAGGGAAAATATAATTTTATGAGAAGGTTGTCCTCCTTTCCCAAAGAGCTTGTGCATTCACTGGAGAAGGGGGCTCTAGAGCCCATTGCATCCATTGAGGGTCCCACAGTTCTAAGTCACTCACCCCAAGTTAGCATGTCTGCCTGGTGCCTAATGAATAAGGCATCATTCCATTCTGCCCCGAAGTGCACAGTGACCCTCACAATTCACCTTGTTACCTTCACTTCCTCTCCCCTGCTCCAGTCTGAGCTTTGTCAAGGTTTGTCAACTTCATTTTGGAGTTACTTTCCACAGAGGCTATGTTCAGAGGTAGAAATGGACAATTTTAAAAGAAAGTGGAGTTGAATAAAAAGGACAACTGCAAAGATAGGTTTGCACCCCACTCTTGGAATCACCACCTGGAAAGAGCCTTACAGATCAGCTAGTCCAAATCAGTCATTTACAGATGTGGAGAATGTGGTGGTTGCTCTCCCAAGAGCCATTCTACCCCTTCCACCATGAGGTAGCGACTCTGGGTTTAGGGTGTGATTGTAACCATCTCACCTGTAGAGGTGTGCCCTGATTAATTAACTAATAAATGCAGCCCCCTTGCCACAATAGTTGACCTAACAATCACCTTCTTGCATTTCTTGGTCACTGGCCTTGAGTGGTTCAAGGTCTTCCAATCAGCACAAAACTCAGGATTTTCCTCCTTTGAATGGAAAATCTTTCTCCCCATTTCCTCAACCCCCAGCCATAGCACTGACCTTGAATAAAAAGGTGTATACAGCCTCAATTGCTGTCATTAGACATCTTGCAGCCTCAAGGGTAGTCAGACCTAAGATGAAGGTGGAACCGAGGAGCAGCAGGGTGGAGATATCTTCAATGACATTATCAATCCCTTGTTTAGCTGACTTTCTACACTTTCCCATCATATGAGGAAATAAATTTCCTTATTGCTTAAGCCATTTAAAGTTGCATTTTCTGTTATTTTCGAAGAAAGCATCCTAGAAATTGTACCACAGATGAGGAAATAAGTTCAGAAATGACTATATGTTCATGGTCACATATTTAGCTGAATATCTTAATCTGAACCTACATCTCCCAGCTCCCAGTGTGGTATTAAGTCATAAAGAAGTTATCCCAATACCTATCCCTCCGAACTTCTACCATGCATTGTGACTAGAGGTGACCTCTCTCTTCTTCTACAATTAAAATGACCAAAACTTTTAAATGAAGATAATTATTCTCTGGATTTCTTTCAAAAATGTAATACTCTTCTATAAATAAGCACAGGAATAAATGATAAGGTGTCAATAATTCAGTTCTGTTTGAGTTTCCATGAAGAAAATGTTAAAGTAACTGGGTGCATCAGTTAAATTTTTTCAGATGTAAACAAACAAACAAGCAAGCAGGAAAAAAAAAAAAAAACAAAGACACTGAAATAGAGAACAAGGGGATAGTGACCAGAGGGGAGAAGGAAGGGAAGTTAAGGGGAAAAAGGGGGAGGGATTTGGAGGAACAAATAGGAAGGACACAGGGACGAGAACTAAGGGGGGTGGAAATGGGAGGGAGGTGGGGAGAAAGGGTGGGGGAGGCTGGGATGGGAGAAATAGACAAAAAACTGTACTTGAAAAATAACTAAATAAAATTAATTAAAATTTTTTTCAGATGTTAATAACTGAATACTCAATAACAGTGGTTTAAACAAATTAGGAGGTTTATCTTTTGTATAGAGCAAGGAGTCTGGAGGTAGATGGTTACTAACATTGGATCAGCTACTCATCAATGTCTTCTGTGACCTAGGTTCTTTCTTTCCACTCTGCTGTACTTGATATGTTATCTTCTCATTCTCAGGCTTGTTGCTTCTTCACCTTGAGATGGTTGTCACAATTTCCAGCATCAAACTACATTCAAAGGCAAGAATCAGGAAGACAAGACAGGCAAGGCTGTTTTGCTTCCTCCATCATCTCTTATTAGGGAAAGAAAATATCCTTTTCCATCTCGCTGCCAGAACAGAGTCACATGGCAACCCTCACCTGCAAGGGAAGCTGGGAACATGGGTAGCTAACTTTTCCTGCTTCTTCTTTGAAGATGGGCAAGGGAGAAGCAGGTGGAGAATGGGCTTGGACAGCCAAATCAACAGTATTTCCAATACTAGGAAAATTATCAATGAAATAATTCTATATCTTTATCATAATGTAAATGTACCTTGAGTATATAATTGATAGTCCTTTTAAAAATTTAGAACCATCTAAAACACACAAGAATGGGGTTTATGCTAAACAAATTTGATTCTCAGGTGTCAGTGAAAATCTTCAGTGACTTTGAAATATTGGACTGCCTTATAATTGCATTAGAGATTCTCAGGTTGTTGGGCTCTCATTTAGTTTCAAAATGACACAGATATAAAAGAGGAAAATGCACTTTAGAGAAATATTAGCATGAATACAGTACAGAGGTTAGCCTGGAAGGTTAATTTAGGCAATTCAGGTTTGAGCCTCATCCTGTAGCTATGATTGTTTAAGCATGTAAGTTATTGCTGAATCACTAAATAAAATTAAGAATGACACTGTCTTAAAATGGAACAAAGTTATTCCTGTTGGTATAAGCAGGGTGCTCTAAGCTGAAATGAAAGACACCATTAATCACTCCAGAAAAAGTCACAGATACTAGATTTATACTCTAGTATCATGTTGCAAATCATTTATTTTATATTCATTCAGTTAATATCTATGATAGCTACTGAGGCTGCACCTACAAATAAGGCAGGCATGGTCTCTGTCCTTTCCAAGTTTTTAAAAACTTTTATTAAATTTATTGGGGTGACACAGACTAATAAAATTAGACAGATTTCAAGTATACAATTCTATGATGCATCATCTGTATATTGTATTGTGTGTTCACCACCACCCAACGTGGAATCTCCTTCTGTCGCCATATGTTTGACCACTTTTACCCATTTTTACCTCCTCCATCCCCTTTTTCCTCTGGTAAGCACCATACTGTTCTCTGTGTCTAAGAGGGTTTTTTTTATTGTTGTTCAATTACAATTATCCCCATTTTTTCCCATTACTCTCCCCCTGCCCTAACCATGCCCACCTCCCACATTCAATCCTCCCCCCGCATTGTCTCTGCCCAAGGGTTCTTTATACATGTTTCTTGACTACTCTTCCCCTTCTACCCCCCTTCCCTTATCCCCCTCCCCCACCCCTCTGGTCATTGTCAGTTTCTTCTTTATTTCTATGTCTCTGGTTCTTTTTTGCTCGCTTGTCTGTTTTGTTGCTTAGGTTCCAGTTAAAGGTGAGATTATATGGTATTTGTCTTTCACCACCTGGCTTATTTCACTTAGCATAATGCTCTCCAGTTCCATCCATGGTATGCGAAGTGTAGGAGCTCCTTCTTTCTTTCTGTTTTGTAGTACTCCATTGTGTAAATGTACCACAATTTCTTATCCACTCATTTACTGATGGGCACTTAGGTTGCTTCCAGCTCTTGGCTGTTCTAAATTGTGCTGCTATGAACATTGGGGTGCATAGGTTTCTTTGAATTAGTGTTTCAGGATTCTTAGGGTATAATCTCAGCAGTGGAATTGTCAGGTTAAAAGGCAGTTCCATTTTTAGTTTTCTGAGGAAATTCCATACTGTTTTCCAACAGTGTCTGCACCAGTCTGCAACAAATCAACAAACAATAAGTGCTGGTGAGGTTGCGGAGGCAAGGGAACCCTGTGTCTATGAGTTTTTAAAAGCAAAAGTAAATTAATAAGACTATATCAAACTAAATAAC